AGTAAATGTATTAAGTACATGCATAAATAACATAGCATTGGCATCTGTCGTTGATGTTTGTTCTGCATTTGTATGAATATCAATAGTAAGTGATAGAATTTGTTTTTTCAAGGTACAAATAAAGCAAGTTTCATCTACACAATAACAAATATTTTTCAAAAACATTGAAAAAAAGTATTGTTATTTTTATCTATTTTGACAGGACTATTGTTTACATTTGTGATCTTCTATAATTAGAACTATATTCAGTACATTGTATTTTATCATCAAAGTTCGATATTTTGTGACAAATATAAAGTAGTATCATCTGTTTTAATCTAAATTTTCCTTTTTCTACAATTTCAATTTATAACTTTAAGTTGAATAAATTTTGAGGTCTTTTTTCTACAAACATTGCCTCTATTCGAAATTTTTTCTATGAAGCGAGAGCTTCCTACTTGTCCTTGATGACAATCAATAACAATAAAATACAAGATTATTAAAATATGTTATTATCTTGCTAGTAAAATTTTTACTGATTGATATCAATTCATTTTACTTTCAGCTTTTATCTTTTACTAATCATCGGAATAATCGAACTTATATGATTTACCAGAAAATAAATGCATAACCCTCTCCACTTGAATATTATATAAAGTAAGTCCTGATAAATTAGGATAATTTGTAGCTAGAAGAATACGTTCCATAGATGATGATTCAAGATCAAGCCATTCGATTTTATCATGAATTTCAGGTAAAATTTGTGTGCGAAATCGATCAAGTATTCCATCAACTAATGGATAAATAAAATGACTTGATAAAGATTTAAACACAATCAAATGAATTGGTGTACATCTTAATAAAGTCAAACGATTAGTAAACATAGAATTATGTAAAATTTTATTTAGTCGTTTATTAACACCTAATAATGAGTAAAGTAGAGTGGCATTATCAAATTTTTTAAAAATAATCATAAGAATTTCATCAGATAAATTGTTCAACTGAACATGACGCTCTATGCTCATTTATACTTATTTCTCTTATGTTTATCTTAGAAATATTGATATTTATATTTATATATACTCACATGTTCTATTCGACCGATATCGTCAACAAAAACAATGATGCATTTTTCTTTAGTCTAACTCCACGAAAATTGATTCTACGAATGACAATATAATTTGCTCTCTTTCTCAGTTTTTATTCAACATATAGCTCAATAAGTTGTCTTTCAAAATTCATCGAACGAAAAATAGTCGAGAAAGTTACAATAAAATAATTAAAACTTTTTAATCAAGAGCATCCAATTATATGAAATAAACGAACATCAGCTTATGACGTTTTCGTAGTTCTTTGAATTTTTCTGATGGTACCATGAAAAATAAAATGAGTACCGACTATTTTTCAGGAGGGTGTGGGTGTGGGTATGGGTGTACTTGTGATTGAGTTCAAGACACACGCCCACACCCACATCACAAGCACACCTACACACCTACGCCCACACCCACATCACATGCACCCCCACACACCCCACGGAAAAATTTTTCAAGAAAAAACCGCGGTTTCATAAACCCCGAAAGTCAGACCTTTTATGCGGTTTTTGAAACCGGCGAAAACCGCGGTTTGCAAATACCGCGGTGAGAACCGAGAAAATCGCGGTCCGAGCTGAGTTTTTGCAGGTCTAACCGCGGTTTTCTTGGTTCTCATCGCGGTATTTGCAAACCGCGGTTTTCGCCGGTTTCCAAAAACCGCATAAAAGGTCTGACTTTCGCGGTTTTTCAAAATGTGGAACAAAACCGCGGTTAACCTTAGATTACCACGGTTTTTTTCGGAAGAATTTTTCCATGGGACCCACACCCCATCCAACGAATATGTTACAGTGATATCGCACGTGTACATATTCACTTTTGTTTTCTTTCTATTTCTTTTATTCTTTCTCATCTATATATCTTGTCTTTGTTCTCTGTCTCTTTTCTCTCCTTGATCTAGACATAGGTATGTACACATTTCTTTCATTTTTGAATATAATAAAAGAGATTGTGTGCAAGTAGAAACACACACACATATATACAGTATTCAAATCCATCATACTATCGTGCACCAGCTGCTTCGACTTGTTTTAGAAGTTGTTCATTACATTGAATCGATGGATGATCCGGCGGATAAATCTTCTTTTTTTGTTCTAATGCTTTCTTTAAATAGAGCAGTGCATTTTCATTATTATTCCCTTTATAATAATAATAACGTCCTAAACTAAAGTAACTTCGTGCGATCGCCGGATGTTCAGCTGACAGATGAGCCTGTCGACACTTCAATGCTTTCGAGTAATAAAATTTTGCTTGCGCATACTTTCGTTGTCCTAAATATGCATCAGCCAAACCATTGTGACAACTGGCAATATTTTCTTGTTGGTCAGTTATTTGTCTGTAGTGTTTTATTGCTTGTCGATAAACGTGAATAGTTTCATCGTACTGTTTGTTTAGAACTAGTGCATCAGCACGACGTCTAAGAGTATTAGCAATACCAAGTTTATTGTCCAGTGAGATAAATAGCTCTTCTGAACCCTTCAATAATCGCATTCCCTCATCCAATGCATGCTCTACTGAACGGTATGATGATATGTTTGCATTGGCCAAAATAAAATACAGATTTGCTCGTTCATCATCTGTAGTCGGGAAAATCTTTTCTAAGAATTTGATTGCTGTCTCATACTGACCCATTTCTATGAGAAGTTGAGCCAGCGTGAAATTGATCGAGATTGAAGTTGATGAAGAACAGTTTGATATTGCTAACCGATGATCTCGTATATAGTTATTGGTGATTTCCTGTTCACAATTCGTTGCATGCATTCGTATGATCCATCGGCCACAGCTGCCTTGAAACTGCTCATCAATCTCAAATGTTGCATTTAATCCGAACAGAACTTCTTTCTCAGCTAAAATTGCACTAAACTTTGATATATCAGCGAGAACCATTGACGGCACTTGATCTAAATCAACTGTAATTTCAAATAAGACGGCTAAATTCTCGGGTGAGCTTTGCGCGAAAGTTTCGGCCACATCTCGATCCGGTGTAGTTGAGAGAAAACCACGCATAGCAATGTATTTGTTTCCACTTGTACAAAGTCGTTCTCCTTCTTCCTGTGAGAGCTGTCGACCATGATAGAGTGTGAGCACAGTCTTTCCCAATCTCTGTTGTTTTCTTCGGAATCGTTCCGATTGTTTAGTTAAGCTCCTACATAGATCAGCCACATAGTAACGAAAGCGGTACAACTCTTCGATATCACCAGTTCTAATTGCATGACTGATTAGGTTGTGTAAGAAATTGTTTTTTGTATATTCTCTAATGGCATCTTTTCGTCGATATTGATTTTCTAAGTAGTCAATATATATTTGATCTGGTTCATAATCATCGCCTCGATATTCTCGACAGCGCTCAATAAAATCACATTTAGACTGTTTATTTTTTTTTTTATTATGCGAGAAACTGTGACCTAGTGGTCCTATCAGTACATGTGTTTATAGAAAATAAAACAATAGTGAAATCAAAAAATAGGATGACGATAACAAACAGAGGAAGAGAAGAAAAACACACAAGAATCACAAAGAAAAGATAAAGAGTAAAGAAAAACAATGTTAAGTGATTGGTCACCTTCTCTTCCGATACCGTACACCATTATCCCAATGACACCGGCGTGCCGGGGGAAGGAATCGAACCTTCTGATCTCTGAACTCAGATGCATAGAGCCACTACGCCATCCCCGGCTATTTAGACTGTTTATTGTGAACGGCTTGCTCCATCAAAATTATCTTTTGTAGCAACTGAAACCATATGAATGTAGTATTTCTCGTCGTTAGGTCCCAGGTTGATGTTTGTGTAACAGTGTTATAATAACTGAAAACACTGTGGTGATGTAAAGTTGTTTCGAGCACAACTTTCAATTCATTCCGGTCATTAGAGAATGATTTCAGTCTCACATTACAAAAGTCAGTTTTCAGAGACTCATACAGTGACTTTTCGCCACCATGAATATGTACAGATTTGATGTGGTGCAAATGGTTAAGTCTGGAGAGAATATCTCGAGCTACATGACCCGATAAGATGAGGATGACAGAAGTACATTTATTGTTTTCCATATAATTTAAGAATTCATTTTCTAAAATGTAGAAGCGCACGTTATTTGTTACCTTCGAGAGCATTCTTTTTGTTTGTTCATAGTTGAAATCTGAGTTCATGTTTGGGTCATACCAGATGAGCATTACGGTTGAGTCTGGAGTATTCGAATCCACCATACTTTCTTGCCCCAAAAATATTGGCTGGCGTCTTTGAGTGGAGTTTTTATTTTCCATTTGTCGTTGATCGCTGAGGAGAGTGTATATTGCAACTTATTTTTTTCTCGTTTTGCTTTCTACAGCTCGTGTTCTCTTATCTTCATTGCAAAAATATTTGTCTTTTCTTCACCCAATCCTGTTGATCGGCTTTGAAGAGAAAAATACACATTAAAATAATTACCTTGTTTCTACGCACATACAAAAAATACCTTCAACAAGGCAACTTGGAAATTTCCAACTTTAATCACGGACAAATGACGTATGAATGATGAAGTCAATCATTGATATCTGAACGTATGCGAATTATGGCTTTGCTTGTCGAAATCGTGTGCTTTTTCGTTTGAAAATACTATGCAAAAGTATCAATAGTTTTAGTCCATTAAAAGCAAAAGTTACGAATCTTTACTTGAAAAAAAAAAGAGATATCGGAAGAAACAACTTAACAATGATCAATTTTTCTAAACATCCATAAGATGGTTCCACTATATTATATATGTGTGTGTGTTTCTACTTGCACACAATCTC